CATATATATTTATATATATATATTTTTTTTTTTACAAAAGCTCTTTGCATGACCTGCGGCTCACGTCTTCAAGCTGTTTGAGCTGTTCTCCTTGGACGGGTTGCACCGGAGATGTCTCCGAGCAGGTTGGGCTCTCTGTATGGCCAGGGCCAAGGTGTCTTAGCAGAAGGGTCACCTCGCAGCGGAGGTGGGCAGCAGCCGACGGCGAGTGGAAAGCCGCAGCTCTGCGCAGAGCGGGAGAAGGGCGCTCGTGCAGGACTAGCAAGCTGGGAAGCAGCAGGGTTCGTCCTCGGCTCCGTGTTCGAGCGGCGACCGGTTTCTAGTTGTGGATTTTGGGGGCCGAAAGCTGCCAGGTTCGGAAGCAGCCCTGGGCTTTTGAAGCTGTGTGCAGGGAGCGAGGGAAGGAGCGCTGGCTCGGGCTCTGAACGCCTGTCCTGGGAAGCGCAGGTAAGGTGGGCCGAGGTGGGCCAACGCCAGGGCTCCCCGCTCCTGGGTGCCCGCGCAGCGAAGAGCTGGACCCGAGCTGGTAGGAGGTCGTGCACCGTTGTGTCGAATCGCAGAGCTGTTCGTCCACCCAGCTGGTAGCGTCCGTCCCATGCGGAGGGGACGGGGACATCGGCGAAGGCCAGCCGAACGCAGAACGGCCGCTTGCCGCCTCGTGAGCCGAAACGGCCGCGAGTCCCAGCAGCCTGATTCACGTAATCCCGTTAAATTCAGAGCGATCGCCCTGAGCGTGCGTTTAGCTGAGCAGTCAGCTGCTGCCCTCTCGGACCCGTGCAGAAGCGCGGCTGGTTTCTTCTGGGCACGTCTACTGGTGTCACCAAAGCGATCGTGTCCCCCCTCTGAACTGGGGGATGCTCACGGCATTTCGACGGTGGCAGCGGCTACAGCACCGTGATAACATTCGCTTGCTCTGCACGTTGCAATGGTGCTGGCTCTTCTGGGGGCTTCGAGGGCTTTGCTGCACGAAATATTCATGCGTAAGCCAGGAATAGCCCAAATCCAGAAACTCCCAGCGAGGGCTTCCCACCGAATGCAGCTGGAAGACATGCACAGAGAAATGGAGGGGTTCGGGATGGGGTTGGCAGCGAAAAGGTGCTGCGAAAACGGCTGTGGGAGTTTGCTTTCAGCAAAGCTGCGGTTTGTCTTGCCGAAACCCGCCCTGGTCCCGCTCTCGTGACGCATCC